CCCCCACACCTTCCCCAAGGGCACAGAGGTCATCACTCGCAACCAGGTGCGCTTGGCTGAGGTCTGGATGGATGGCTACAAGAAGATCTACTATCGACGAAACAAGAATGCTGCAGTTATGGCCAGTGAGGTCAGTGTGGCTTGCCGATAAGAGTAACAATGTTCAGATGTTAAAGACACATGAATACACATTTATTGCTAGAATTTATACCCCCACTGGGTGATGTGATATGGTAATGCAATTGTAAGTGATTGTTTTAATGGTATTAAATGTAGCGCTTTCACCGTTCTAGCACAACTATGGGGACATCTCTGATCGTCTGAAACTGAGAGAGCAGCTGCAGTGCAAGAACTTCACCTGGTACCTAAACACAATCTACCCAGAGATGTTTGTTCCAGATGCAAACCCAGAAAAATCTGGATCAGTAAGTCATGTGTCTCTTTGTCTGTATGTGAACATCAGTGATACAGCACACTTCACATGCTGCAGAGCTGTCATTGTATCTTACTGTAACTGTCTGTGTTTGTACCAGATTAGAAACTCAGGATCTCAAACCTGTCTGGATGCTGGAGAGAACAACCAAGGAGATAAACCTATGATCATGTTCCAGTGCCACAACATGGGACGCAACCAGGTACAATGACTCTCTCTAACTTACACATGTGAAATTTAGAACTGAAGATAATCTCTAGAGCAGGTGTGTTTCTAATTGGATGATTGCCTCGTCTAGTACTTTGAATACACATCTGAAAAGGAGCTGCGCCATAACATTGGAAAGGAGCTGTGTATTCATGCTACTCCCCATCCAGAGCCAGTGAAGCTTGAGTTTTGCCAGCTGAAGGGAAAGGGCACCAGTGTGGCACCACAACAGGAGTGGGTCTTGACAGAGGTGAGGAGCAGTTGTGGCCATGCTTAAAGAAAAGTCTGTGATTTTTGGGAAATATGCCTGTGTGTTTGGCTGCTGAGATTTAAATGAGACAATTGATCACTATTGTATCTGTCGGATAAATATAAGGTTACACTTAAGGTTAGGTGTTTGATCAGCTTAGCATAAACACTGGAAACA